TTAAAAAAAAAAAGATTTAGCTAATATAGAAGATTTGTATAAAGAAACTTAAACAAAAAAAGTTATATCTAAAAGAAAATAAACAAATCAAAGATCTAAAAAAACAAGAAGCAATAGATAAAATACAGAAAAAATAAAAATACAAAATTACAACAAACAAAACAAACTATCAAAAAGAAAACAAATTTATGCTTTAATACAAGAAAAAAGATAAATTCAAACCCAAGTATAATTTCTAAAAAGAAGAAAAAAAAAGAAACTAAGCTAGAAAAAAGAAAAAAAAAGAAAAAAAATAATACAGAAAATTTAAAAAAAATAGAAAATTATATAAAAAATTAAATATTAGCAAAGTAGATAAAAGTAGTAGAATAGAATTTATATAATATAATAGTAGTGATTAGTATTTAATATTGTTTGCCAGTACTGACTATAACCAAAATAGTATAAGCTTTAAATACAATTAAGTAGTTCTAATAAAGCATATAACCACTAGCTAAAAAAAAATATTTTTAGCAAATTAAGAACCCAGAAAGAGGCTAATAGCTACTGAAGCAGATCATATTAGGTGAAAACTTGGTAAGCCATCTGTTTGGTTAAGTTAGAATAGCTATAAATAAAATTTATATAATTTTTTGAATAGTTTTAATTTCAAATAAACAGAAGTAAGATTGCCAAATTATAAAAAAAAAATTAATTATACAGTATTAGATAGCAAGAAATATTCAATTTTTATATATAAAATATAAAAAGTTTATAACTTTTTAAAATTATAAATCAAATAAAATTTATTTTAATAAAAATTATCGAAAATTATATATCGTACCAGTGGTATTCAATACCACATATATGAAAATCATGTAATATGTAGATCAAAATAATTTTTATCAAAATAAAAAATTAAATTTTGATTAATATTAGGATTAGGATTTAGGCCTGAGATATGGCAAAGGCATAGATTATACCAGAATTTTGCAAGGAATTTTTTTTGTTAAAGCCCCAAAGATAGTTTCATAGATAAAATTTTGAGTTATAAAGTATAGTGGTATTGAAACACCAGTGGTGTGATTTAACAATACCGAAAATTATAACTTAAATAAAATATAACAAATCTGTAAAAGAAATTTTGGCTCAACTAGTTTGTTCTTGAGTTAAATTTTATATATACTGTATATTACCGAATAGAAGCAACTAAAATATTGCAAAAAAAATAAGAATTTTTTTAAGCCAAAGTGAAAAGTTGCTTTTATTCAAGTACAATTTTATTAGTAGAATATAATAACTATAGTCAAATTTTTGGCTCCAAAATCTAAAAGGTTGCTTTTATTCAGAGTTGCTTTTAATCAATAATATACATTATCCAACATTTCATATGATCATGTGAATTTTTTTGCCATGATATTTTTTACATGAAATTACGTAATCAGTTTTGCAAAATATCACAGAAAAAACTTCACATGGTCATATTAACTATCCGATAACATCATTATTAAACATACGTACGACAAATAACAGTCAATTTTTTTTTTTTATTGGAGTTAATTTCACTCAAGTGCTGCTTCGCAGCACATAAAGTGACATTAATTCTGACAAAAAAAAAAATTGACTGTTATTTTTTGTCGTCTGTCCAATAATGTACACGTATTTAAAAATTTAGTATTTAATATATAAGGCTACACAAACTTAATAAATTGGTTCTTATAATCTAACTGAATCAAATTTTGCAAATTTTTAAAAAAATTTTTTGACTATATTTATTATCCAGGTGAAGTTTTTTTAGAAGTTTATAAAAATTTTATATACTTTTTATATATATAAATTTTTTAAAAATAAAATTAAAAGCCAGGTTGTCAGATATTTGGTATCCAAACTAGAAGGTTTATTCTAGAAACTAAACTTACCTTTAAACAGATTGCTATTAATAAAACTTGAAAGGCATAAAACACCAAAGAGCAGATGTAATTTAAGTAGTTTCTTTTGGGGTTAAGCTTTCTTCTTAGATAAACTTTCCAAAATATTTGGCATCAAAACTAAAAGGTTTATTCTAGAAGCAAGTAGTGAAATGACCCTTGCTAAGATAGTATAACCTTGTAGAACCAACTATACATCTGTAAAACTTACAAAAAACCTTATATATTTTTATTGGCTTCACTTTTTTTTTCAAAAAAAATTTTGTAAAAAGTGGGCAATTTAGTTTATTCTCTTCAAAAAAATGATACATTGTTTACTTTCTAAATTAGGTGATATTGTTTACTTTTTACTTGTCACAACAAACACATGAATATATATGGAATGTAAATATATGAATTATATATCTCAAATATAGTGATCTGAAAACACAATATTACAAGCTCAATAGTGCAATTTTCTGACCTCTCTACAGTACTGATATCGAAGAAGCTTTTCCTTTTTGTTTTTTTTTTAGGTTTTAAATTTAAATATACTATATATATAAATTAGGAATATTAAATAGAATAGGTGAGCAATATAAGAAATAAGTTTTGCTAATGATTAGTAATTATTAATTTTTAATATCAGAGTTGCGGAGTTTGTAAAGTTTGCCTACTTATTCTATATAACATCCTAAATTAGTATAGAGAATAGTTTAGATAGTAGTATATAATTTTTAAGAAGCCCAATACAGGCTTATAATTGTGATCATCTGGTGTAAATAAAAAATCTCATATTTAGTTTAGTTTTTCTTATTTTATACTTATCCTCTTCTTTTCTTTTATTTGTTTTTTTACATATTTTCCTATACTTCTGTGTTTCTTTTATAAAAATTTTTCTTTTTCTTTTACTTCTCTACAAGAAGATATTATCAGATTGATGATATCCTATTGTAGAGCAGTGATTAGACGAACCTCTAATAGGTAATCAGTTAGGTTATATGAGATAATCACAGGATATCAAATCTGGATGTTTAATGTTTGACTCTCTTCACAAGGATGTGACTTGATTAAATAAAGATACTGATATGATTAGACTAAGTAAAGCAAAAAAAAAAAAAACCAGGTTGTCAGATTATTTTTCAAATTTTATATTATGAAAATCAAAAAATTAACTTTGTATGATCTAAAAAAAATTATCTATATAATTTATTAACCAATCAAAATTTATTATATAAAAATTAACCAATTATAATTGATTATATAATTTTTAAATTTAACATTTTTTAAAAAATATTAGATATTTTTTGCTGTTTGGTACAGTAACTATAGCAACTAATATTTTATACTCTATATAGTTATTTTTTTACACTCTATATAGATTATTTTTTTAAAAAACTTTAATCAAAAATATCTTGATAATTACCTGACCAAATTTGATAATTTTTTTATTTGAATTCTACAAGTTTGTAGAATTTAAATAAAAAACTTCATTAAAATTAGTTAACTGGTTATCAAGATATCTTTAATCAAAGTTAAAAAAATTTTACCAATTATTTTAATAGATGTTTAGATTTTTTAAAACTTTGATTGAAGGTATCTCAACAACAACCTGATTAAATTTGATAAATTTTTTTTATTTGAATTCTGAGTCAGTAGAATTTAAATAAAAAAAATCATCAAAATTAGTCAAGTAGTTATCAAGATACCTTCATTCAAAGTTAGAGAAAATTTTGCTATAACTATTATTTTGATAGATATTTAGATTTTTAAAAAATTTTAATCAAAGGTGTCTCAATGACTACCTGACCAAATTCAATGAAATCCTTTTTATTAAAATTTAGGAGTCTGTAGAATTCAAATAAAAAAAAATTTAGCGAATTTGGTCAGGTGGTTATCAAGATACCTTCAATTAAAGTTTTAAAAAAATCCAAATATCTATCAAAATAATAGTTATAGCAAAATTTTCTCTAGCTTTGATTAAATGTATCTTGATAACCGCCTAACCAATTTCAATAAATTTTTTTTTATTTAAATTCTAGACCCGTTGAATTCTAATAAAAAAATTTTTATTGAATTTGATCAAATAATCATCAAAATACTTTCGATTAAAGTTTTTTAAAAAAAGTGATCTACATGGGTGTGAAAATATTAAAAAAAGGGTGTAAAAATATTATTCGCCTAACCTTTTTGTATTATAAGTATTATTCTGGATCTTTTCTTTTTTTTTAAGATTTTTTTTTTAAAATTTTTTTTGTTAAAAAAAATTAATATATTTTTTTGTATACTGCAATATAAGACTCTAAAATATTCTTAATTGATTTTGATGAAATAGCAATTAGAAAGAATTAACCTCTTTGAGTAAAATATTGGCTCTAGGGTTATTATAGTGCTAATAACTCATTAGTCAATTATTTTTTTTTAATAAACTTTTTTACATTACAAAGTTACCAACTATAAAATTACTCTAATTTGTTTTTAATAGAATTGTTTTTTTTTCTTTATATTTAAGTTTACTTAAGATAAATATAAGTTTTAACCCTAAACAAAGTTATATTATTATATTTAAACTTGATATAAAATGTGTGTACAAATACATCTAACTACAAGATATTATTATTCTATAAAATTGATCAGACATATTCAAGAGTAAATAAAACAGAAAAAAAACTTGAAGCAGTCAAAAATAATCAAAGTTTAAATATAAATTAAGTAGTTTTTCTTACTAATTAACAGACAAAAATGAAAATTCGGATTAACGATTATATTCTCACCCTAAGGTAGAGCCGTATATTTTACGCCGTTAACAATATTATATTGTGTGACATCAGATTAAAAAATTTAAATACAGAATTTTATTAGAGGTTAGTGATGTATTAGCGGATTATAATTATTTAACGTTAATGCCAAATCAATAACAAATTATTGTAAAGCCGTAAAAAAAAAACGTTTTTAAATCCTAAGAGCACGTGAATTTATTTGCAAAAACCACATATTCAAGCAAGCAAAGAGAATTTTTTGTACTTCAATTAAAAAAGGCAACTACACTAGCATCGGTAAATACTTTACGTTTGAATCAATATACTATTGCATAATTCACATTTTAGCATTCATTTAACATTCAAGATTAATTTGAACTGTCTTCACTTGAGTATATAAGTCTAACGCGTATTTTCCGAGTTCACGACCAATTCCAGATTCTTTGTAACCTCCAAATGGGCTAATTTTTTGACAATAAAAAAAACATTAATAAAATGGATAAATGGATAAACATAAGATGGAAATAAATAAACGAATTTGAAATTTTAATTTCTTACGCATTGGTATTAATTAGATTATAGCCGTTAACTATGTAAAGTAAATGAAGAAGTTTGAATTATTAGATATAATAAAGTGTAAAGGTTTTAATCATATTGGGAGGAGTGATTTGGAGAAACTTACCCCATACAGTACCAGCTTTCAACGCGTTTGAGATTTTTATTGCACGAGATATATCTTTAGTGAACACAGCTGCGGCCAAGCCATAATTTGTCAAATGTGCCTTTTCGATTACTTCATCAACAGTTTTGAATTTTGCAATGGCTACAACGGGACCAAATATTTCTTCTTGCATAATCTTCATTTTTTCGTTCTTAAAATATTTAAGAAGTAAAAAAATCTTAATGCGTACTTGTAATGATAAGAATGTATAAAGTTAAAATAAAACTTTACCACGTCAACAAAAATAGTTGGTTCGATGAAATATCCTTTGTCACCGTATCGTTTACCACCCAGTAATAAAGTCGCTCCTTCCCTCTTACCAGTTTCAATGTAAGACAGGATTCTAAATAAATAAATAAATAAGTAAATATATATAAGTAAGTAAATATATAAATAAGTAAGTAAATATATAAGTAAATATA